GGTGTGCTGGAGTAGTAACCAATTGGCACGTTCTGTTTACGTGACAAACTTTACTGATTGGCTGTGCCGGGTGGTGGCAGGTTTAACGACACATTTATATGTATGCAATATAACCCAAAATGTTTTAAATTTCGATTTAAAGCTTTCGTGACTGCAGGGATTCATCTTCTTGGTTCTTTCGGTAAAGTCACGTGACTTTACCGAAAGAACCAAGAAGACCAAAATATTGTATTATTCTATATAATATCACCGTATTATGAATGCACTGCATTAACTAACAATGTCGTGGCAGCCGAATAATGGTGTGTCCATGCGTTCCACTCAAGAAACAAAACTGTCGGGGCTTTATTACTTAAAAAAAAAAGTAAAAAATGCAGGTTGTCCTATGGAGAAATATTTGACCCAGCACAGGAATGTGGAATGTCCACTGCTGGCTGACGACAACCAACGGTATTTGTTGCAGAGTATTTTGGCAGGTCAAAGCCCACCATCTTCCTCGAGTAGGAGGCATCCGACACATCCAATCAATCATATACCACGTCCCTTCAACGTTACGCGAACAGGGCTCGTGCCATTGCTACACGCTGTAGAACGTATCCTGGAAATGCCTGCGATTTGAATTTAACAATAAAGTCTCTATTTTGTATATACGTCGACGCTGAGGTCAGGAGCCTCTTGAACAAGAACTTGATTTGTTCAAACTTTCTTTGACCAAAAACCACCAAAAGCAGTCATTTCAGTGATGTTGTCGATGACGATGAAACAGTGTTAGTGTTGGCACCCGAACACAAGTGTCGCTGCTGCGTCCAGACAAAGTGCAACCCGAGCGTCGTTTGCGCGCAGGGAGGAATGTTCTCAATTTTATCACATTCCAAATCCGACCCAAACCAATATTCTTCCGATCGCATTTCGGCAATAGCCACGGCGATCCGCTATCGACGGTTCAATGTCAGCGACGTGTTGTCAACCCGCGCTCACACGCAGGAGACACGCGGCTTTACGTTATTCTCCCCATACGCGTCTCGTGCTTTCCCGTCCGTGGCTGTGTTTTGATTTCTTTGGAAACACGCTACCTGGCGCAAACGCCCGCTGTGTGTGCGTGTGTGCATCCCAATGTTCTGAGACCTTTAAGGGTCCAATGGCAAAGACTCGGGCTAAAAATAGATAAGATGGTGGAGGGTTGTGAGAGAGAGGGGGGGCTTGTTCCAAAGGAGTTCAGGGCTGAGACGGATTTACGCAGATGACATTACGCGCGGATGACAACACTGAAAACCCGATGGGGACCCACATGCATATAGATGCATAGCCTTACAGGCATTGTATACATTCATTACATGTCAGACACAAAACGCATTGGATGCGCGCTGCAATTAGTGTACGGCAGTGAGTGCATTGCACATACATACCATTGCATTCTACTTACGTACTGAAGACATGTACAATGGTACTTGAATTCCATCAGTCCATATATTGCACTCATTACATATTCGAGTAATCTCATACATATACAGCATTTATCATATGATTTACCGCAGTCATTAACAAACGTCCTGAATAAATTGCACACATGACCACAATCAATGCACGCATATACATTATGCAATTACAACACGGCACATGTGGTCAGGTGACTCCGGCCATTACTTACACAATCTCCACTCAATGTGTGCATATTTCAAACATGACTCTCTGCGGTCGCGGGATATGTCTTGGTCTACCATAAATATTGAGTATAATGAACTCAATACATTATGGATTTCATTATATGCATACTATAATCATCACACACAGTGCATACAAAAAAAATCTTACTCTGGTTTTCCCACCTGATGATGATTGCTTGTGTTGCAATCGAAACGTCGTGATTTGTTTTCATTTTATTTTATTTCTAACTACGAGGCTTTACCGAAATAACCAAAGGGTATGGATTCCTGCAGTCATGAAAGCTTCAAATCAAGACATACAGTACAGTTGTTCAGATATAACCGCTGTACATCTATAGCGATCACAGTACACGCTGCATTAATTAACATACAAGTACAGCAGTGGATTAATAGTACAATATTGTAACCATTACATTGTTTGCATGCTTCAATAGCACTGTTACATGGACATAATGAAGAGTAATTTCGTGTCATTCAGGAGGGGGAGGGTTGTTTGACCATACTTCACCACGTTTGGTCAGTGCGGATTGGGTGAAGGAAGTGGCCCAGCACCGGTTCCAGAGGTATCCCTCGCCACTGATGTTAGCCGTGAGCCGGACATCAAATGTAGGTGGCTCATTTCGTAGCGTGGCGAGCGAACCACTACGCAACTCACAGTGTGTGATCAAACATGAAAATCAGAGAATACATATTGCGTATATGTATGAGGGTATAACGCCGATATGAAACACGCATCATCAGTCATTGCAGCACTTGTGTGATGTCACATCGTGTTTGGTGGGCTCAACCCAAGTTCTTCATTCACACATATGCGATCAAACAGCGGCAAATCAGAATTGGCCATCCTATGAAGTGCGTAAATAAATGACAGTCAGCACTCGAATCTACAAGTGGCTGAATAACGCACACCCATTGATTGCATGAGATATGAGACGTGGATTACCCGCGTGACATGCATTGGTATGTTACGGGCTGCGCTTGACAGATGGTCCTTTGTTGACCACCTATAAAAAAAAATCACCCGTACTGTCCTGGCCAAGAGCTTTGCTTAGTCAAGCTTCGTAACAGCCTTGTAATGCAGTCGCTACGCACAGCAGCAATGCGAAATCTTACGTTTACAATTTCCAGATTTGTTTTTTTATTGAAGTCACACTCACTTGCATTAAAGGTAGCGTTTGTTATGAACAGGTTGGATTACCCACGTGGTGCCTTGGTATGTCATTACATATATATTATTTTTCTTACAAAGTTACACATCCTGGCCGATTCCGCTGACATCTCCAGCAGAGCGAGTTGCATCTGCAGCAGTTCCAGACGCTGCATAGTCGCCTCCCATCGTATACGCCACTCGCAGCTCATTGATTCAAGTCGGACTGTGGATCCGACGCAATAAGCATTGGCCAGGGCAGGGTTGGCACTTCGCCAGTTGCCTCCCCTCTAGAGGGAAATCTGCGTACACTGAGTGTGGTCCAACGCCAGACAGAGATGTTTGTGTTGGGGCCAGCGAGCAAGGTGCAGGAGTGTTCAATATACAGCAGTCATCCCCTTCTGCGCACTCCTCCTCCGAGACGTCTGGCTATTGCGGGGAGAGGCCGGCCAAAACATTATCCGATAGGGAGCCCTCCAGAGCTCCACATCAGCCAGCAGTGGCGCGAGCAATATCTTGCAGGGCTGCGCCTTTAGCTAGCGACACTTGCTAGGTAGTAGGATAGAGCCGCGGTCTTCATTGCAAGGCCACGCGGGCCACTGGCGGGGCCCTGGTGGCCTTTAGTGCGGCCCCTCGACAACACGAGTGACCCCCCCACCCCCGTCATCATCCTGCTGCTGTCAAACCCCCAATGGTTTACAATGCGTGGCGGCCCTCACACATTGACGATCATCGGCGCAAGTAACACCCCCCCCCCCCCTCGGAAAATGAGTGAAGACCACCGGGGTAGATCTTCTTGGTTCTTTCGATAAAGTCACGTAGAAGGGAAATAAATAATAAAAAAATTAAACATATTAAATACATTGCATTTTATTATGCTTTATTTTTATTATTATGTTTTATTTTTATGATTTATTTTCCTTCTACGTAACTTTACCGAACGAACCAAGAAGATGAATCCCTGCAGTCACGAAAGCTTTAAATCGAAATTTCACCGGGGTAGAGTTCTATCATTCGTTCCTTCTAATCGCGAGCAGGCAGACAACAAGGGGGTCCACTGCTCGCTGCCCTGTTCAGATGTGCTCGTGAACAGTGGAGTGGTGGCGCAGCGGTTAAGAGCACTGCGCTACGAACCCGGCTTCCAAGTTCAACTCCCACTCACGGCTAACGTCAGTGGCGAGTGACATCTGAACCCGCCGCGCACCCCTCCTCTCTTCACCAAGCCGCATTGACCGGCGTGGTGAAGTATTTATAATAAAGGTTTTTGGGTTAGATCGCGTTATTTATAAACGTGTCGCAACCCTCCACCACCACCCGACACATAGGATGAAGTTAGCAAGCTTCCGCTCTTATCCGTGGATATCTTATTATTTTCTGCCCCAAACTTGACTTTCTGCACCCCCACCAGCACCACCCCGCCCCGTAATCATCCTGTAATCCGCGAATTCCGCAACATATTCGCGGATAACGCCGCATACCGCGGGGCGTGAGGGCTTCAGCCGTGGACTCGCGTGCGTGGCTGATTGGTGGTCATCCCTTCCTCCCTCGCGAGCCTCACCCACGATTACTACAATAACCACGTTCTGCTGCTGCTGCTGCTGCCAACACACATAATGCCCCCCGCCCCCCGTGGCTTATCTCATCTTCCCAACCAGCATCGCTCCTCCTGTACTGCCTAATTGCGCGCACACGCCACGGTTAACAATCGGACGTGCTTTCCACCGGGAGGGAGACACTGTGGGGCACGCGTGTGTGTGTCTGTGTGTGTCCATGTGTTGTTGTATGGGGAGCGGTGGTGTAGCGGTTAGCGCTGCGCCGCACTACGAACCCGGCGACCCGGGTTCGATTCCCGTTCACGGCAACAACACCAGTGACGAATATATCTGAAACGGTTCGGGGTCTCACTTAGGTCGACTCAGATTCAAACGAGTACCTGGTTCCGTTTGTGTAAACATCGTATTTAGGGAGACAAAGGCGGCCGGGCGTGGCGCTGGCCACCCACACCCACGCTCGTGTGCCGTGCCGGCCTTCATAGGTGCTACTCGCTCACAGCATTTGTCAAGGCTACACGTGCGGGCGGGGGGGGGAGTCTTTGTGTTATTCATAAGCGGGAGAATCTACGTAAGAGACCCTTTTGTGGATTAGGATCGTCTCACCCTGCTCACTCCCCCACCTCCCTCTCCCCCTGCCTCTCCCGCCCTCTCCCCTCTCCTCCACACCACCACCACCACCCCCATCTCGCCTCGCTCTCTCCCTCGGCCACACACCCCCGGGAGCTGTGTTTCCCACTGCCGCCTACACCGACCACAGACTGCCAGCGACCAGCGAAGAACCCGCATAGGATTACAGGCGCCTCTGCTGCGAATGAGAGGGCTTTGGGTGTGGATTATTATCACTCTCATAACCGAACCGATAGTTAATACTAATCGTTATTAATTATAGTTGGAGGTTGTGTGTGTGTTGGGGGGTGTGCGAGGCTGCCTGATTTTGGAAGTCGACAGCACTTGGGCATTTTCACCCGGCGCGTCAACAACCCTCTCAAGGGGAGAAGGATTCGTCGAGGGAATCCGAACCGAGCACAGGTGAGAGTGAGAGAGACGGCGGTGGGGGAGTACGATCCCTAACACGTTTCACCCGTTCATTCCGCCGCTACGCTCCGGACCCATCATCATCATCATCACCGCGCGCGCGCCTCTTGGCTACGTTACACGACTCCGTGATGCTGTTTGGCTCTTGATACGTCGCGCGGTCCTTCTTAAGACGTTCATCTCGAATGCACTGCGTAGCCTTTGGATTAATTCTACTCCCTTTCGTTGCGCGCGGTGTCAACGTGAACGTATTACGACGCGCTCGCACGCATGCACCCTGCATACCCGTACTCACTCCGACGTACGCTTTACAAGGGAGTCCATATGGTGGGCTGATTAGGATGTAATTGCTCCGTGAGGAATGCTAGGAGGATGAAACTGTGATGTAGTTCATATACTAGTTGTAAAAGGTCCGTCGTTAAACAGGAGACGCACACGTTAGCGGCGCTGGGAGCCGAAAGTTGTGCAATTTGACGTCTTCTGTGATGCGTGCAGCGCTTTCGACCTCCGCAAATGTATCCAATTGCAGCGCGGTAACCTCAATACGCATTGCGATAAACTCGACAGCCGAATGTTTATTGCACGTGTAATTGGACTACACGTGCCGTATGCATATATATTAACACTAGCTGTACCACCCGGCTTCGCCCGGGACTTGGATCCACCACGCCCGGCCGCCTTTGTCTCCCAAGTGCCGATGTTAATACGCCACACCAGTTACTCGTTTGAGGCTGAGTCGACCTAGGGGAGGTTCAAATAATCGTCACCGGTGGTGGCCGTGAGCGGGAATCGAACTCGGTTCGCCGGGTTGGTAGCGCAGCGTAGCGTTAAGCACTACACCCACCGCTCCTCACACACCACACACGCACAGACACACACACAGACACACGCAGACACACACAGACAGACACAGACAGACACACACACACACAGACAGCACGCTAAGCACTACACTACCGCTCCCCACACACCACACACGCACACACACAGACACACACACAGACACACACACAGACACAGACAGCACGCTAAGCACTACACTACCGTTCCCCCTACACAACACACGCGCGCGCGTCCATAGGTACACATACACGCGCTTGCTGCAGACACACACGACTTTCAGGGTGCGTAAGGCAGTAAACGACTGAAATAATAAAGCGGCAATGCTGTGCGAGGAACGCCTTAGACCAGCAACACATTTGTGTAATGCGAGCGTAAACACACAAACACATACAAACACATACACACACATACATACACACACATACACACAAACACATACACACACATACACACACATACAACACACAGACATACACATACACACAAACACACACATACATGCACACAAACACATACACAATACACACACACATACATGCAGACACACAGACAGACACGTAACACACATACATACACACACATACATACACAGAAACACATACACACACATACATAGACACACACATACATACACACAAACACATGCACACACGTACATACACACATACATAGAGACACGCAGACATACACATAAAGACATAAAAAAAAACCCACATACATACACACACACATACACACAAACACATACATATACATACATACACACATACATAGAGACACACAGACATACACATAAACACACATACACATGACCCGGCTTCGCCCGGGACTTGGATCCACGATGCCCCGCCGCCTTTGTCTCCCCAGTGACGATGTTCACACACGACAGCAGTTACGCTTTTGAGGCTGAGTGGACCTAGGGGAGGGCCAGGTCCGTTTCAAATAATCGTCAGCGGTGGTGGGCGTGAGTTGGAATCGAACTGGGGTCGCTCAAGCAGCTTAATGACTGTTTGTACAAAGAACATATAAAGAATCGATTATAATAACCAGGCAAGAGTCCACATTATAGACTGCCAGTACACGCACTCAGCTTCATAAGCAGGCTAGAGTGTACATGATAGAGTGGCAGTACGCTCACCGAGCTTAATAAGCAGGCTAGAGTGTACATGATAGACTGGCAGTACGCTCACCCAGCTTAATGAGTATTTGTACAGTGAACATTAAAGTAATCGATTGTTGGCGCGTTGGGTTTAAAAGTAATATTAATAGCACACATTGTGGTGGGGGTGTAGTGAAGAGTAGGAAAAACTTTGATGAATTTACCTCAGAGTGGCGTGGTGGGTGTCGAGGCCTAGTAGCGTGCAAAGCCTGCGGCCTCGCCTAAAATTGTCGGCTTGGAAAAGACAGGGTACGGGTGGCGTTCCTTCCCCCCCCCCCCCCCTAGCGCTCCAACAATACTGTGTAATGGCTATTATTTAATTAAATACGGAGCTTATGAAAGTGGCGAAGGCGTGGCTAGCCGTTGGCAGGGGCAACCGCCGTCCAATGAAACTGCAGCCCTTGGCGAAGGCGTGGCTAGCCGTTGCCAGGTCCAATGAAAGCGGCGAAGGCGTGGCTAGCCGTTGCCAGGGGCAACCGCCATCCAATGAAAGTGCGTATGGGCCAAAGTCCACACACACACACAGACAGACATGAACGATTTTATATATATAGATGTCGTGTTTGTTTGGGGAGCGGTGGCGCAGTGGTTAGCGAACTGCGTACACTGCGAATCGCGGCCACCTGATATCAATCCCCGCTCACGACCAATTAACAAGTGGCGAATATTTGAACCGGTCAGGGGGTCTACCTCTCCCTAGGTCGACTCAGCCTTAAATGAGTACCTTTCGCGGTGTGTCAACATTCAGCACTGTGGTGAGACAAAGACGGCCGGACGTGATGTTCGACCAACCCAATCATCCCCTCGTGTGTTGTAACAGACCTTCTTCACAGCGCGACTCGCTCACGAGCACTTGCCCCGACAGTCCGTTGAAGGCTATACGGGGGATCTTTGTCTTTGTGTTGCATGAATATACATGTTCGCTAAGCAGAACTTGCCCGGGTTGTCTGAATGCCTACATGGGGGGGGGGGGGGGGTGGGAATGAATCGCCGTCGTTGTTGTTGTTGTATAGACTTCCCTGCCTACGGTACCTTCTCATATCGGCTGCAGTGTATGGCCGAAGGTGCTGATCTTTGTAGGAATGTGTTGTAGGTATGAGTCAATGCGCCGACGTACATCGCCACTAGGGAGACAAAGGCGGCCGGCCGTGGTGCTGGCCACTCCACCCCTTCGTGTACCATGCCAGCCTTCATAGGTGCCGCTCGCTAACAGCACTTGCCCCGACGGTTTGTCAAGGCTATACGGCGGGGATCTTTGTCTTTGTGTGTACACGTGTGTAGACACAAGGATCGCTATGTTGGTCCGCGTGAAATTGTCGTTAACATCGGTGCTAGCATAACCGTTCATACCAGTCTAAGCTCAACATACTACATGTTATGTTATAAATACGTGTGTGCGGCGTGTATGCGATGTTTGTGTCTGCACATGTAACGCGACTTTGCGTGTGTGTGTGTTGAAAGAGCGGTGGTGCAGTGATTTGTGCGCCGCGTAACGAAAGCGGCAACCCAAGTTCGAATCCCGCTCACGGCACAACGCCGGTAACGATTATTTGAATCTCTTCTGGGTCTCCTTTAGGTCGACTCAGATTGAAACGAGTACCTGGTTCCGTTGTGTAAACATAACCATTAGGGATACAAAGGTGGCCGAGAGTGGTTTGCCGGCCACGCAACCCCTTTGTAGGCGCTCGCTGAAAGCAATTGTGCCAAAGGTCTGTTAAGGCTACACGGGGGAATCTTTGTCTTGAAAGATACCACCCGTCCGAACGTGTGATCGCTTGCATCGTAGATATAAATTCAATGTAGAGCCAACGTTTCAAATGAGACGAGGACTTTATTATTTTTAAAAAAATCATGTTTGCTTGAAAATATTTTCATAAAATGCAAATGTTATCCCTGCGCAAACACACGTGTGCGAGGGCAGGGGTGGGGGCGTTCGCGAAAATTCCACATGCCTCTGGGCGTTCATTTGATTGTCCCCAGTAGAGGCGGTGTGGTGAGTCGATTCCTCGAACGGGATTTGAACTCTTCGTCTGCCACTTGTGAGGGTCGCACGCTTGACTGTGGTGCCAGTGAAAATGGACTTCTTTGGTTCAAAAGGGACCTTGCCCAAAATAAACTGACCGCGGTCAGAGATGTCAAGAAAATGAATGCGTGCTCTTTGTGTGTGTGTTTTTTTCTCGGCTATTGTACATTTCAAAAGGTGAAAAAAAGCCACGGACCAAAATGTGATTTTTCACACGTCGACCACAGCCTGTGGAGTTGACCCCCCATTACTTCACTCCGTCCGCACAAAAGCGCATCAAATCAAGGAATTCGTTGGGAAAAGATTTTTGTCATATTTTTTTGCTCGAAATGTCTTTTTCGTAAACGTATCATCCTCACCATCCCTCGTCCATTCCTCAACGTGGGCCTCAAAGCAAATTCAGGCATCGCCGAGGTGGCGGCCGTTGGTCGCAGTTCTAAGACAAAGGGCGAGCGCTTTGCCACGGCTAATGCCGTCCACATGGCTCCACGTCTCCGCCACCCGCTGAACATGAGCTTTGTCAGCGGGACTCATTCTATAAGGAGAATGTTGCCTAAGAAGGACAGCATCCCCAATGTTATTGTGATGCTCGCATGACTGCAGAGCACCCCACAGCCTCTGAGCATGCTTTGTCTGACAGGTCCAGGTTTGACGTAGAAATAGCAGACGGACCGACAGCGGCTACCAACTCAGAATCGGCTACGCCTGATTCTGAACGCATATGGCTGGAGCCAGAATCATGCCAGGCTGTACTGCGTTGGGCGAATCGGATGCATTCAAGAGCTGCGCGAACGACATCTGATTGCTACGCTCGGCTGTCTCTGCTCCCCACAAACGCGTGACACTCCGCCACTGCCCCCGCAGGAGAAACTGGGATAGGGGGTTTTCAGGGGAGTGCGATAACCACAAGGGCACCAATATCTGAATGGTTACAGACTCGCAAACGATAGCTTCCATTGGAGGCGCTCA